TCCTCCACAACTAGACTGAAGAACAAAAGGACAGCAACTTGTCTGCTCCCCTTCCCCACCCGCCCCCAAAAAAAATCTTAAAAAAAAATAGAAAGATGAATAGTGTAGTGTTTTCACACAGTAGAATAATAATCAGAAACACAAAACAATTACTAATATCATCAACAACATGAAAGAATCTCATAGACATTATGCTGAGCAACGGTAGACACAAGATTACATATTTGATGATATCATTAAAAAGAAATTCTATCAGAGACAAAAATACTCTAAGGAGAATATCAAAATAGAAGTTGCCTTGGGGAAAGAAAATGCCTTATACTGTGATAGGGGTGTGGATCTATTTGTCCAAGTTTACAGCTAAGATCTATGTGTTTCAAAGTATCTTACCTAAATAAACACCTATAAAAAGTTCTTATGAACAATAACCAGCAACAAGGTAGGAGGAAGTTGGGAGTGGGTGGGAGTATAGACCCCACAAGAAAGAAATGCTAGCTACTAGTGAAACTGAGTGATGGTTATATGGGCTTAATAATACCATTCTGTTTACTTTGTATTTTTTATATTTTCCATTAAAAAAAATAACAATAACAACAAAAAACCCTGACTACTGGAGCTACTCACAGGGTTTCAACACTGAAAAGAAACTACCGAATAAAGTCAAAATAGAGTAAGATAGGATCAAATAAGAAAAGCAAAGAGAACTGTCTAGAAAAAGTTGAGAAGAGGAACATAAACTAAGCAATCTCAGAGAGCAATTCTCCATATTTTTAACATTTTAAGAAAACCACAAAAAGCTCCATTTAAGTAAAAAACTTTCTTGAATCAAACCTCCTAAAAGTTCAGGAAAACAAACTTCACGTTTAGTAACAAAAATTACATCAGAACCTATATAGTTATAAGACAGAAAAAGAGCAGAATAAAACCCCTAACTTCCTACAGACAATAAAATTACAAAAGATCGGCCCACAAAAACAGATCACAACTATAAACTACATTTACAAACAAGTTTAAAGACACTAATACAACAACAAATTTAACCAAGATTAGGGGCAGAAAGGGCAGATAAAGTGTCAGAACTCAGAAAAAAAATTTAAAGCAAAGAAAAAAAATCATTTTAGAAATGAAGACTAAAAGAGATAGAACAAAGAAGTAAATAAACACAACAGATAAAGAAAGGAAAATTTCTAAACATTAAAAAAAGGATTAAATGGGGCTGGCTGAGTGGCGCGTTGGTTAAGAGCTGGCTTGGGACGCCAGAGGGCCCCGGTTTGGATCCCATATATGAGGGCCAGTGACACTGGCCTCTACGGCTAAGATGCTGAACAACAGCTCAACCTGGAGCTGGGCTGC